TGCCATTTATTCCCCTTTATAGCTGTCTTCCACTTCTTGCACCCAACTAGGAATTATTAGGGTAGTACCCATAGCCATATACTGACCTTGATCTTCTCACTGTCTAGAAAGGGCATCAGCAACCACATTGGACTTACCCTTCCTATACTGAATAGAATAGTCCAACCCCAATAATTTAGTCAGCCCTTTCTTCTGGATGTCAGTTGTTAATTTTTGCTCTAACAAATATTTTAGAGGTTCATGGTCAGTTTTGATGATAAAAGGATTGCTTTCTAAATAATGCCTCCATTTAGATACTGCCATTAGAATAGCAAGATATTCTCTCTCATATATAGATAGGGCAGCATGTCTAGGGCTAAGAGCCTTACTAAGGTAGGCAATAGGTCTACCATCCTGAGATAAGACAGCCCCAATTCCTCCTGAACTGGCATCTGTTTCTAAATAAAAACTCTTCCCAAAATCTGGTAATGCTAGCACAGGGGCAACACACATAGCATACTTCAGATTTTCAAAAGCAGTTAGAGCCTCAGTACTCCAGTGAAAACTGTCTTTCTTAAGCATTTGAGTCAAAGGTTTACTGATGGTACCATAATTCTTAATAAACCTTCTGTAATAACCAGTCAATCCCAAAAAACCTCTCAAAGATTTTAAAGATTTTGGCATAGGCCAATTCTTCATAGCTGCTACTTTAGTAGGATCAGTAGAAACCCCAGAAGCTGAAATAATATGTCCCAAGTACTCAACTTGAGTCTGTCCAAAGAAGCATTTAGACATCTTGGCAAACAATTGATTATTTTTCAAAACTTCCAGAACCAATTGTAAATGAATGATATGATCAGCCATAGAAGTACTATAGACTAGGATATCGTCAAAAAATACCAAGACAAATTTTCTTAAGAATGAACTAAATAATTCATTCATTAATGTTTGAAATGTAGCAGGGGAATTAGTAAGCCCAAAGGGCATTACCTTGAACTCATAATGGCCCTGATGAGTTCTGAAAGCTGTCTTATAGATATCCTCAGGCTTAATTCTGATCTGCCAATAACCAGACCTTAAGTCAATTTTAGAAAAATAGACTGCTCCACATAATTCATCCAGTAGATCTTCCACAACAGGAATAGGAAATTTGTCCTTCACTGTCATACCGTTTAGCTTCCTGTAATCAACACAAAGCCTCCAGTTACCATCATTCTTCTTAATTAAAAGACATGGAGAAGAAAAATGACTTTTGCTTGGTTAAATAATAGAGGAGGAAAGCATATTAGCAATCTGCTTCTCTATCTCAGCTTTTTGAATATAGGGAAATCTGTAGGGTCTTAAATTGATTGGGGTAGCTTCAGGTTTAAGAGGAATTGCATGGTCATGGTTTCTTGTAGGAGGTAGTCCTGTAGGTTCAACAAAAATAGATTGATACTGGTCCAGAAGAGGCTGGATAGCTGTAGGAGTAGTCTTGGAATCTTCACACATATTGAATAACACTACATGTCCCAAAAGAGGAGAATCAGAAACTGTCATCTTCAATAGGGTAGCTCCTGAAATCTGCTGTAAAAAATTTGAATGTTGTTGACCTTGTATAGTGATTTGCTTCCCCTTATGCACAAAGCTCATTGTCATGTTATTAAAGTCCATCAAGATTTGACTAAACAATCTCATCCAATCCACCCCTAAAACCATATCACTGCCCCCCAACTGAAGTAGTCTAAAATCATGTATAAAAGAGTACCCTTGCATCTTCCATTCCACTTCATTACACCTTGCTGAACTGTAGAGTTGCTGCCCATTAGCTACTATAATAGCCAGAGGATGAAGAGTATTTATTTGTATACCAGTCTCAGCCCATTGAGGTGTTAAAAAACTGTGTGTACTCCCTCTGTCAATTAGTATATTCAATGGTCTTCCCTGAATTGTTCCCTGAATCCTCAGTGTATTATGACCAATACATCCAGTAATGGCATTCATAGATATTTCTAGATTCTCTTCCTCCTGTAAATTCTGCTGTTCTGGATCATTAGATAAAATTTCTGAAGGTAAGACATTTTCATCTTCAATCATCATATTCAACTATTTTGCTTTACACTGATGGCCTGGAACAAACTTTTCACCACACTTAAAGCATAAATTGTTCTGTCTCCTGTAGTCTATCAGGTTCTATTTTTGTATTGTAGTGGATGTATTCTTCAGTGGTAATGTTAGCTGGTTAGGCTTAGAACAAGGTAGAGGAATTGAATGAGCTAGATTTTTAACAAAAGGTCTGAACCTCTTACTCTCAAATTCCACAGAGAGCTCATATAATTTAGCTTGCATGCTTGCCTCAGATAATGTTTTAGGGTCTAGAGCTTTAACTCTATGTTTAATGTCATCCCTTAGTCCACTAATGAACAAAGAGACAAAAAATTCTTCACCTAAAGTAGGATTCTGCAGAAGCATGTGAGGCTGTAGTTCTTCAAAGCTGTCCTGATATTCTTCTACAGACCCTTTCTTGACCAGTTTTGTAAATTCCTCCACTATATCAACAAAGGCTTTATCACAAAACCTATGACATAAATCTGCCTCAAACTCATGCCAAGTCACATGATGTTTTTGCATAATATACCCATCAAACCAAATCTCTACTTTACCTGTCAGGTACATTGTAGCTACTTCCACCTTCTGTTCATCAGCGATACTACATAATGAAAAATATTTTTGACATTTCTGTAACCAACCTCTGGGATTACTTCTATCAAAAAATGGTAGCTCAATTTTTGGTCTATGCAACATAATCCCTGACATACTAGAAGACCCTCCTGTACCTCTTTTATCCACTTCTAAAGCCACTAACTGAGTTCTAGCAGCACTGTTCTCCCCCATTTGGTTATCATTTTTGAAGCTAGCTATATGAGCAGGCAAGACATTTGGTTTAAACTTAAGAATACCAGGCTCATCCGGTTTATAAGTAAATCGAGTCTTATCACTGATTACTGTCACCTTAACAGGTTGTTTATTACTCATATTAGATGAATCAAGGGTATGCACCTGATCCTCAAACTGATTTTGGTCCTCTTTTCTGCCAGTCAAAATCTTTAAGATTTCCTCCACATATCCATGATTCGTAGCCAATCTAGACTCCAGTGTAGAAATCCTTTCTTCCTGAGTTTCCCACCATTTAGGTGGATTAGACTCATTTCGTCCTTGTTTCACCAGTGCTGTCAGTTCTTCCATCTGCTTCTGCAACCCAGCTAAGTCTTCTGCCATATTCTGATTTTTCTTGGGCATACCACCAAACTTGCCAGAAACCGAGGCTCTCGATACCAATTTGTTATGGTTTAAGTCGATTAGAAGAGAAATCGAGGAATAGATAAGAGAAATAGAGAGAAATTTAGAGAGAATTCAGAGAAGAATTGCTTGTTCATTCATAACATGAGAAATCAGGGTGATTCTACAGCATCTTATTTAGTTACAGGGCTCCAATTGTCATTTAATAATGAGCCAGTTGTCTGTACAAATAACGACCTATAATAGACTAATTTATCTTCTCTCCTTGCAGGTTGTTGGGCCACCAAGCTGGACTGCTTCACTATTCCCGTATGTAGACTTGGGCCGATCCACTTCTGCTAGAACCATTATCAGGTAACTTCACTTCATCTGGTAAACGCTTCAGATCCTTTTCTCCTCTTCCAATCCCTAAATTCCCCTTTTCAATTCCCTCTCGAGCCTCAATCCCTAACCCTAGATCACTGTTTCCCCCAATTGTTTCCCGAATTTCTTCTTATCTTCCCCGTTCATCTCCTCCGACTGTAACATACTCCCAAAGATCAGAGTGGATTGTGGTTGTATTGCTCAACTCTTAGCATCGAAGATAACACAGAACGGTTTAAGAAAATTGTAAAGATGGCGGAGAGCTAGAGAGCATAAAACAGTTTTGTTTTGGATGATATAAAATGCTGAAGTGACAAATGGGGTAAAAACGCAAGTGAATCTGTAGTAAAATCAGATTTTAATACTTTCTCAAAATGGCTAATTTAATAGGTGTAATATCTCTGTTGTGATTGGGTGAATCAACCCACAAAGCTGTCCAGGTACAGAGTCAAAATAACAGTTCAAACAGTAGAAATTACGACTGTGATTAAGCATTTGAAGCTGTTACAATTATACAACCGTACAAGGCAGTAAAACTATTGAAGTACATCCTTATCGACAGTTACACAAATTTTCTTTTATTTAGCTGTCAATTACACATCACAAGGAAAGAAAAGGAAACTCTTTGAATACATTTCACAAGTATATTTCCTTCCAAGATGGGATACTATGCCCAAACCCTCGTGAACATTACTAACAGTGAACAAAATACAACTTTATTCGTTTAAGTCTGGTCTATTTACACCCCTAGTTCTTACTAATCTATAATTGAGACACTATGATGTTTGGACCAGTTAGCAGGGCTCTTCCAGGGCAAACATGAGCTAGGGGTCATCAAACTCTAGTTTCGAGACTCTCTTTGATGTTTAAGTAAGAAGTGTTTTGTAATGGAGAAAAATAAGGGTAGTCTCTTCGGACTGCCTGTTGCATGGTGATGCATGATGAGTCGTTAAATCATTTGTCTAGGTTTAACAATAACTTCAGATAGTCATTTTGTTCGCCCTATGGTTAGGGCTATGTCAGCGATGGCGAACCTACATCAAAGCTTAATGTGTATTTTAAAATCTGAATTTTTTTCAATTAAATAGTTTTATATAACCCTAAAATTTTATTTGTGTCGATCTGAATTTTCTTCATTAGTTAGTTATATACCACCCTAAAATTTTATTTGTGTCGATCTCTATAAAATTAATTTTAGATTCGTCAATGAAGGTCAGTGTACTTCCAATTAGTTTGTTGATTACTGAAAAGTTTCATTTTGTGTTAGGTGACTTGTTCCTCAATTGTTAATAAGGAATGTAGGATGTTAGGACCGTGCAGGCCTTGTAATTTCCATTGATATATCAATGTTGATACTAAAAAACTCTCAGCTTGGAAAAGTTTAACAATCGAGATAACAAATCTACTGATTTACTCTTAAAGAAACAATGTAAGTGTATGAGAACAAATCCATCCCCAATTAAGCATATAATTTATTCTATGGAGATCGAGATCTCGAACAAGTAAAATGAAAATGATAAAAACAAACACATGTTCATAAAGCTGAAAATATAGCAATTTCATGAGTAAATTATCATCAAGCTGATCCCTTAAGTTTCTTTGCAAAGCCGGCAAAATACTTCCCTTGGTGGAAAGCCTGTGCAAGCTCGAGCTCAGTTGGCTGTCTCGAGCCATCCCCAGCCAAAGTTCCGGCACCATAAGGGCTTCCACCCTTCACTTGTTCCATCTCGAACATACCGGCACCAAAGGTATATCCAATGGGCACAAAAACCATACCATGATGAGCAAGTTGAGTGATTGCAGTTAGGCTGCCAAAGAAAATACATGTTCTCAATTAGAAATGTTTCAAAAATTACTGATTGTAATACTTTTCAAATTTCAAATAGTAAAAAATGGTGCAAATTTACTCACGCGGTAGTTTCTTGTCCGCTTCCCTGGGCGCTGGTGCTGTAGAAAAGCCCGGCAGGTTTGCCGGCTAGAGCTTGTGTTCTCCATAAACCACCGGTTGAGTCCAAGAAGGCTTTGAATTGGGCAGGCATCATACCGAATCTAGTCGGAAAGCCAAAAAGAAAACCATCGGCTTCTGCAAGCTCGTCTGGCGTAATGATGGGGGCATCGGTCTTTGGTGGTGCATGCATTTTTCCGAGAACGTCCTCTGGCAGTGTCTCCCGTACCTGTCATGGTGCCCAAATGCCAATATTAGGTTCAAGTTCAACAATTATGCCAGATAGACCAAATAAAAAATTGATTTAATTACAAAAATGACTTGAATTTCGAATGATCTAAATTTGAAATAAAGTTTTATAGTGAAGATAATCAAACCTGCCAAATTTTGGCTTCTACTCCCTCAACAGAGTCAGCTCCTTTCTTGATCTCTTGGGCAAGCTTCTCAACATGTCCATACAAGGAATAATAACTGCAAAAATAGCCATTTAACAGAGAAGATAAAGTATGAAATAAATCATTAATGCAAACAAATTTAAACAAATCGAATCAGATGATGCACCAGGGAACAAAAAAAATGGAACTTGATGATTTAAAGGCTAAATGTAGAAGAGAAAAAGTGCAAGAAGAAAAAACAGAGCATGACCAGAAACATTCTCCAGATTGGATTCAAACCAGAGTAAACCCAAAGAAACAGAATTAGGATTCTTACACAATGTAGACTTTGGCAACCATCTTGTCTCTTGGATAGCTCTGTTTTCTTTGCTCTTGAAAGCTTTTTTTGGGGTTAATGGAAATGTTATGTTTTAAGCAGATGAGTGGAGAACAAGGAAGGGAACCCTTTTATTTATACTGACGTTTTTGGAATTTTCTTTTGTCAAGCACGCTCTGTATGAAAATTCAGAGGAAATTGGTTTAAATAATATAATATAGATTGATTTTTTTAATTCTAATTCGTAATGCAATTAAATATCAAATAGATTGACTAATCAGATCCATTGTATATGGACATAATAATTACTGGCGCTAATGCACCAAATTCCGATCTAATTTATGAGTTCTAACAAGTAAAGAAACGAGATTGGTAAATCATTAAGGATTAACAAAAAAAAATTAAGTGTTCAAACTATAATATTTTTTCATGAATATGTATCTAAACTATTTTTTTAATGATATTAGTTCATAACATTACAAATATTATTACTTTAGGTGCTAGGGTCCTCAACGACGTTATTTTTCTTCGTTAAGTGACATGTGTCACAATTTGGTAATTTTAAAAATTTTATTTGAAATTTAAAATTATATTTTTAAAAACACAAATTTTGAAATGATCCCAAATCTTTGAAAATTTTCATTTCAACTCCTAAACCCACATCAATTGTCGCCCTTTGTAGCCAATGAAGCTCCACCCGACTTCACCTCCCCCTGACAATCGAAACCCCTATGAAATTGTGATCTATTAATGGTTGATCAACGGCGAATCGACATTTTATAAACTGAGAACCATAGGATGAAAATCGTGCTCCCACACGATTTCAACGGTCAATCGACGACAATTACGGTGGCGTATGACTAGGAGGATGATAGAGACTATGTCGGCGGCGATGGTCATGGCCGAAAAAGACGACGACGTTGAATTAGGGTTAGAATTTGAGGATTTTAGGGATTTTGAGAGTTTTTTTTTTAAATTTAAAAGAAATTCAGAGTTTTTATAAATATAATAATATTTTAATGCTTTATTTTAAAAAATATTTATTTTTTAAAATTATTAGATTATGACACATATCATTTGACAGACGAAATTAGCATCGTTAACGAATAAATTATTATCATAAACTCTGTTGACTTTAATCAAGAATAAAAAATAGTTAAAATGACTAACTTTTTTACTTTTGAACCTATAATCTATCTAGATCCAGTCGTATCCAGTTATTTAAACCGTATGAATCATCCCTATGATGTTCACACCGAATTAAAAAAAAAAAATCTAGACATGAAATATCAATAGTTAGTTCCGGAGGGAGACCATTTAAAAGTCATCTTCATGGAAAAATTTACTTATTTTCCAATTTGAAATTGTCAAAGTCAAACTAGGACAGGGTCAGAATTCTTTGCCCTAAAACGTGATGCTGTCGTCATGATGGCTCATGTTCTTCGTACATACACTTTCTTTGTCTCTTCTTTTAGTCAAGTTCACATGGTTTTGAAATTCTTAATGTTGTCTCTTTGCCTGCAGTCTAGACTCTAGATGAATCTAGAATCGGTATCAATGGACTTTGGCTCGAGGGCTGCTAATTTATTGTTGCTTAAAATATGATTTTAAGTCCCTCGACTCTTTCCACATTTTTTTTATTTTCAAAATCTTTTATTTTTTTTTTCGTTTTTCGAATTCAAAAACCCAAGTTGATTTTGTACGCAACATTAAAGGGTTTATCTTTAAAGAAAAGTAGGCTCATTACAACGTCATTCTTTTGATACATAGCTGTCAAGTTAAAGTTTTAATTCAAAATACCACATCAACCAATATAATAAAAGGAATATCAACAATTGGATTTCAACATTTCAAATATTATTGAAATTTAATTATATAAAGAGTACATCCACTTGGAGTATATTTTAACTTTTCTTACTAATACCAGCTCCCCTTGCGTCTACGTTGATTGAATTGTTTTAATGTTTGTCTCGATCTAATTACATAGAGTTATTTTTCTGAGATTCGAGATCGAATTGGGATCTGTTTTGTGAAGGATAAAGTTGAGGCAAAGATAAAATCGAGTTTAGGATAAAATGTCTTCAACATGATTCAATATGAGATTATTACTATAATTTCTTTCTATATTTTAAAGAGAATTACTATGATATCCATATATTAGCTATTTCTAGATTTAGTTAAAATAGGCCCATCCAAATGACAAGAGATTCAATAAGGGATGGAATTGACTTTTGCATTTTAAGTTGATCAGATGAATAAATTAAGGGTAAATTACAAATGTACTAACTAAACTTTACAGTTTTTCTAATGTTACTCATTGTGCATTTAATTTTTTTTTAATTTACTCATCAAATTTTATATATTGAATTCTTTAGTCACTCAACCCTTTTCTCTCTAATAGCTAGATGATGTGGCATTTTAAATTATTTTTTTACTTGTTTGACTTTTCAACCGCGGTATATTTTTTCTTTCTTCAATTTCTTTCATCTTTCTTCTTCTTCAAACACATCTACGACACTACTAGTGTCTATGATTAGGTGCGTAAACAAGCTGAGTCGATCTCGAGTATTGCTGAGCTCGACTCGACTTGAAAACTCTGAAATGGAGCTTGACTCGACTCGAAAACTCTCGAGTTTAAAATTTTTAAGCTCGACTCGAACTCGAAATCCTGAACTGAAGCTCGTGAGCAGCTCGAAAAGGCTCGAAATGAAAAAAATTCTGAAACTTAACAATATTGAATCATAAAACTCAAACTCGAACTTAAACCTTAAATACATGAAAGCCTTATTGTATTTTTAAACAAAAATCAACACATAAATGTTAATATTATTAATAATTTATTTTTTTAAAATAAAATCTTAATATATTATATTTTCAAACTGCTCACGAGATTTTCGAGTCGAGTATCAAGTAGCTCGTTAAGAATTCGAGTGAAGCTCGAGTTCGAGTCGAGTCCATTTGATCCGCGTATTTACCGAGCCTTAACCGAGTCGATCTCGAGTAGCTCGCAATCTGTCTCGTCTCATTTACAGCCCTATCCAATATTGATAAAAATCAAAGATTGAATTGATCCAATCACATCATTGAGTTAACACAGTCCAAATTCCACCTCAAATATATATATACTACAAAGAGATCCCTAAAATTCAAACAACCAGAAAATGAGTGTTCAAATTTGAAAAGAAAAATGAAAATGAAAAACAACCCATCATTAAAAAAAATCACGCAGCAGCAGAAAGAAATGGATTAAAAAGAGATTTGAGGTTTCTTTTTTCAAAAAAAAAAATCTAGGAATTATAAGAAATGCTGGATTGAGTGAAAACGAGAGTTTGAAGGACTGATGGAGAGGGTTAAGAAATGCAGTGAGAAGGAAGATGAAGATGGAATATCCAAGATGAAAGAGGTTGCAGAGGCTTACTCGGGCCAAATCCTGAAAATGCTATTATCACAGTCCCTAGGTATTTCAATAACTCACGAAGGCAAGCTACCAAGGACGTTGACGCCATTGTTGGCCTTAATGTTTTGAGGAAGCCAACCGTTGCTTCCATTGCTGATGGTCTGGACAAGAATGTTAGGATTTTTATGATTTTCTATTGTTAATAAGTTCCTATTTATTTGGGATACTAAAACTACTTGGGGTGAATTCAAGATAGCAGAATCAATGAAGCTTGTTTTTCTCCTTTATGTTATTGTAAGGCTTATATAAGCCGAAGGTTTGTTTATTCTCAAGAAGTAGTGAAAATTCACCTATTTTGAACATGAACATTTTATGCCAAGAATCTAACAATTTTGGAATCAAATTTTTTTTGGGACTTATTTTGAGAGAGGAAAAAAACAGTAGTCTTCAAGTGTTTGAAGAATGGCTTCTAAGAGTACTTTTATTCAACCTGCTATTCCTAAGTTCGATGGCCACTGTGATCATTGGGCCATGCTTATGGATGCGTTCAAAAGAGTATTGGAGTCTTGTGGAAAGTGGAGTCCCTGCTGCAGCAGAGAAAATGGAGCGTACTGAAACTCACAAAAGGACGTATGCCGAGCAACAACTAAAAGACTTGAAGGTAAACAGCTATCTGTTTCAGGCCATTGACCTTTCCATTTTGGAGACCATTTTAGATAAAAAAAATACTGCTAAGAGTATTTGGGATTCCATGAAGTAGAAGTGCCAAGGTTCAACAAGGGTCAAAAGAGCGTAACTCCAAGCACTTCGAAGAGAGTATGAGTACTTCGGCATAACTCTTACTACAGCAAACAAAATGAAAGTTCATGGAGAAAGTATGGGTCAGGTAAAGATTGTTAAAAAAAGCTTGAGATCAATGACTTTCAAATTTGATAATGTTGTTTGTTCAATTGAAGAATCCAATAATGTAGGCATTTTGATAATAGCAACCAATTTTCGTCCGACTTATTAATATTATTAGTAGTAGTAGTATTAAAATTATTTACACTTTTGGCAGGCCCAAACAAAATCAAACCAAACCGTAGCCCAGAACCTAACCTAAAATGAAACTTAGCCCTAGCTTCTGCCATCGCTGCCTGATGCCGCCATCGTTGTCTAACACCATCGTCGTCACTATCAGAGCCGCCCTTGACCTGAGAAAAGCCAAAAAAACACAAAGTAATCATCACTCTCAGCCACCAACTCAAATCTATAAAAATAAAACATGCAACAACCAAAAGGAGGAGGAACATTCGAACTAACAAAAAATAGGTGGAGAAATCCGAATCGAGCAAAAAAAAGAAGAGGAAAAAACAGTGGGAAAGTAAGAGAACAAAAAAAGAGAACCGAAAAAAGGAACATATAGAAGAATTAGAGCTTACCCTGATTCGTCATTCGCCTGCATAACTCCCTTTTATTGATTTTGGTTGATCTATTTCGCCTTTTTTTAATCTAATTTATTCAATTTAGTCCTATACACTATTCGACTAATCTGTGAAAGACTTCCGAAAACTTGGGCCGCCTTTTCGAGGGTTATTTGAATAAAATGATTTTTACATTATTAGTTGTTTATTTATTAATTTATGATGTATTAAAGTAATTGAATTTATTTTATTCTATTTATATAAATGTGTCTTATTTCGAATAAAAGAACTATTTCCAAATATTTATATTTTTTAATAAAAAATATTTAAAAAATAAATTTAATTCTATTTTTTTT